TTCATTTTTGACCTTTCCAAGGTCGCAAAAACAATTTTTTCATAAGACAAGTTTGATGTAAAATTTTCCACTCTTTCGAAATCCGCAGTCAAAAATAGGGTGTCCCATTTAAAAAAACCATCGTGACCTTAAAATGACCTTCAAAATTGACCTCAAGGTCAAAACTAATGGTACAATTAAATGACCCTTTGTCCTGGTCAACTTTTATCCAAACCATTTTTTTGTAGATACCGTAATTTATTACGGTCCATAAGATATTCGGGTCCATAGATTAAAATGACTCACCCTGTATAATACCATCTGATCAAATTTGACCCGGACTGGTCCATTTAAACCGCGCGCGTAAATTGAATCGGTAAAAATTTTTTTTTTAGATTGGTACAACCTTCTCTGACATTCGTGTGAAGTTTGAGCGGGATACGTCAATTAGTGTGTGTTTGGCAGCCATTTGTTTACGACGCAAAAAGTTTGTCTGGCGATTTTTACTATGGAAAAAAAAATTGAACAACGAGTTTGCTTGAAATTTTGTGTTTCCAGTGGAATTACGGCTATGGAATCATTGAAAATGTTGCAGAAGCGTTTTGGGGAGTCTACTCTTTTGCGACCTCTACTCGACGTGCTTTTTGTAAAAAATTCATGTCTTTCGGTACGAGTCTGGCGGCGATGCGCTTCATACCCAAAACATTAACCAAAATGTGTTGAGTCGATCCATAAGAGATGTTGAGAGCTTCTGCTATCTCTCTAATGCCAACACGACGATTTTCAAGCACAATTTCCTTCACTTTTTCCATGTTATCGTCGTTAACAGAGGTGAATGGACGACTCGCATGAGGCAAGTTTTCTACGACCTCACGACCCTCACTGAATGCTTTATGCCACTCAAATACTTGCGTTCTCGATAGAGTAGACTCCCCAAAACACTTCTGCAACATTTTCAATGATTCCGTAGCCGTAATTCCACTGGAAACACAAAATTTCAAGCAAACTCGTTGTTCAATTTTTTTTTCCATAGTAAAAATCGCCAGACAAACTTTTTGCGTCGTAAACAAATGGCTGCCAAACACACATTAATTGACGTATCCCGCTCAAACTTCACACGAATGTCAGAGAAGGTTGTATCAATCTAGAAAAAAAAAATTTTTACCGATTCAATTTACGCGTGCGGTTTAAATGGACCAATCCGTGTCAAATTTCAGATCAGATGGTAAATAGAAAAACATGTGGTTTTGAAGTCGCTATAACATATTTTTCGCGAGATAAAATATATGACTGTTTTGGTTGTTAACAACGTATTTTATTTTCTAAGAGTAAACTCCAAATACAAAATCCAATGTTATATATAATATTATACATGGAATGTTTATTTATTTTGGATAAGCATAACATAACAGCAGAGGTTTAAAATCTATAATTCTTTTATAGCGATCTATAGTACTTTTCGTATATAATTATGCTTTGCTATGAAGGTTAAAGATATATCAATAAATAAAAGAAGGGCTACTAGCCAATTATACTGTAAGATATTTAATAATCGTACATATACAAACGTTTCGACACCGATCGGGTCATTTTCAATGTGAACACAAAACCATTACAAATCTCAGAGTATTCGGTAACATTATAATATCTAGTAAAACGTTGATAATTTTATTTTCCCTATTATCGTGCTGTCCATATTTAGCATCACTTGACAGATGTAAAAGTGAACTCATCTCACTTCTTCTCTACAATCTTACAAATAATTCGAAATAATGACCTGGCATAGCGTTACGGTTTAAAAGTGTATATTTTATAATTATATTTATATATACCTTAATTTATCGTGATGACGTCAAACGCCGAGAAAAAAAACACAGAATTAACCAAGTCACGTATAAAACAAGCCATGATACATTGGAAAAACACAAGTATCCCTTACGATATCAGGCGACGTTATGATAAAAAGGAAACATTATAACAAAGAGAAGATAACAAAGAGAAGACGGAATTTGGAAGGGGCAGAGGACAAGGTTAGGAAGGAGAAAGAGATTGAATAATGTTTAGATATGATTCTGGCAGAGAATCTGTATCATTTTGTTTATTTATCCCATGCTTTTGTCAAATGCGTTTGACTCTCTAGACTACCTCTGAGCATCATCTCTAACGCCTATACGAAGTTAGCCCTCCACTTTTTGAATTCACTTATCTTGCGAATTGTGCTGAATTGTGCTAGATTTGTGCTACATTGTGCTTGAATATTAATATCAAAATACAACAAATACGTTAGAAGATTTAAAAAACCATATTTTAGGTCACCTCCCACTTTGAGATTTTTTCAATTTTTAAAATTGTGCTAGGTTGTGCTAAGTTATGCTAACATTGTGCCAAAGTGGTATTCTCAAATAATGATAACAACAGAAGATATGATAAAAAAACAATTTTTCACAAGTCGGAATAAAAATAACGCTAACATTCGTATCCGTTATTCAAATACCACAAAATTGCATATCTGAGTTGTGCTAGCCTAGCACAAGTCAGTACAATCATTACATTCGCTGGCACAACGACATTAAGGGTATTTTACTCTTGAGCGCGCAGGGCTGGGTAATATTTAAAATAGTTCCATTTTAAATATGTATTTAAAATGGAAATAGCATTTTACACTTTCCATTTTAAATGGTTTTTGGAAAACCATTTTCATTTTACATTTGAAATGGAATCTTGTCTATCATTTAACCATTTATAAAATAGGTAAATGGTTTTTCTATGTTTTCACAAATTTTCCCTAGAATCATTGACGTATAAAAAGAACTAAGTCCCATGATTAGCCGAAAATTTTTATGAATATTCAAATAAACTGCAAATTAAACTGTAAAGAGAAAATTAATTCCAAATAGTCCATAAACATTAAATATCTCTTAATAAAAAATGAATGTTCCTGCATTATGTAAAATACTGTATACATTTCTAAAAATGTATTATATATTATTCTTAACATCTAATTTTGACGGTAACTGGCGCTTTTCATATTAATTTGATTTATTCAAGTAAACGGTCCCATTTCCAAATTATAATATTAAAAAATTTAAAATATTCCCGTGAGAAATACTTTATTTATAATATTGTAGTCAGGGCTTCGAATTACGTTGAAAATGGATTTCAAACGTAAAATACTTTTATACAATTTATACCATCTTGGCGGAAAGTTTTTACGAAAAACTATATAGATTGAGATAAGATCTTAGAAATTCTTAATTTTTCGTAGATATTTGTAGTGGGACGTAAAGTAGTGTTATTTGTTTGAAAAACCAAAAAATCCTCCGCCCACAAACGTTTTACGTCTTACATTTTATGTCTTACATACGAATACCTACGAAAAACTAGGGATTTTTGAAACAAACAAATCTCATTTTTGTCTCACTACGAATATCTACGAAAAATTAAGAATTTCTAAGATCTTATCTCAATCTATATAGTTTTTCTGTACTTTTTCGGAAAAAAATTTTTTCCGCTATGGCAAGAAAAACCATTTTTGCATTCGAAAACCATTTAAAATACCTATTTATCCATTTTATTATACATTTAAAATGGATTCGAAAAACCTATTTTGCATTTTGCATTTTAAATACATTTTTTAAAAGTATTTTACAATTAGTATTTTAAATGGAATTCGAAAGACATTTTAACCAGCCCTGTGAGCGCGACTGCTCGTGTTACATCACGTTGCTATTGAAATTTTCTCCGATTTTAGGTCAATTTAAGCAATTTATCCGGGGATCGGAGATCAAGTTGTGCAGTTAAGAATGTTCACTAGGAAATATTGGATAGTTATGCGGAAGGGTAATTTTGAACCCGGTGCCAAAAAGATTACAAAGCTTATAGGCGAATCTGCGTGGATCGGCTTTTCGAATGTTCTTGTAATTAGGAAACGTGATATCGATCTCCAATTTCTTGAGAGTGTATACGCGTTTGCAGATTGAGTCTGCCGGTTTGTTTTGATCTAATAACTGCGCCAATTTTTGGAAATAAGGAAAGGATCGTGATTTGAAATGAGAGCTGATTTTATTTGAAATCTTAATCTCTTCTCTTGCTGTCTTCGTCCGCCTTTAGTAGGCATCGAGGTAATACAAAAGAATTATCAATGTTCCGAGGAAGTGGCGTAAGACGGGGGCCACGCTTATTGGCAGCGACAGTCGTAACAACAACCTCGGATACTCGTATATGTTTTATATAATTGAATGGGATGCAGAGCAGAGATGCAGGTTTCAGTCGATTTGATTTAGTATTCTAGTTTAATAAAATAATAAAATGACAGAACAATGGAAAGGAATACAAGTGAGTTTCTGACGGAACGCGAGGATAGTTCTCACCTTGATCTAACTGTTGTACTAGATGGATTTCTATTTCTATTCTGATTCTGACGATTTTCTGCTTTTGGCAGGTCTTTTTATATTTTAGAAATGAG